ACACACACACACACACACACACGCGCGCACAACACCCGTCATACGAACATTGGTACTCAACATTGAACGTAAACAGTAACAATACGGACATTAACATTAACATTAACATTAAATGCAATTGGCAATGCAAATATACGACCACCTAATCGTTGAACCAACGATGTCGACAATTACGGACACTCACATTCTAGCGCTACCTATATAGCTGTTCGCTCCGCAACAGGTTGCAACCATAGAAATAACATACTAGTTAGACTCGATATATATATTTCTATGGTTGCAACCGACCCTATTGCGCAATGGAGGGCTACATTCCACATACGTAGCGCTGCTCACACTCCTGCTGAATCCTAGATTGCAAAAAAGGCGAAACCCTGTGATGTTTTTCGAGCGGTGTTCGTCCGACCAGCGCTGTATCGTATAGTTTATTATGTATCGGTCCGCGCACGCCAATGACTCCTGATCATGCGACCAATTTATAAAAGTCATCTTCACACCGATTATCCTTCTCTGTGGCTACAGTGTCTATGTAATGATACATCAATATATCGGCCAGCGTAATCTTTGTTTTAACGTCATGTAGTTATACATGAGCTGTCCACGTGATCTGTCAGCTTCCATGTTGTACCGGGCTAGAATAAGCACGTTAGAACATGGCCTACAATTACCGGGCGTCGATATTCTATAATAGTAGTAGTTGGTCAGTCAGTAAGCCTAGCTGGACAACGTACTGTATATATATATATATATATACATATATATATATATATTACCTAGCAGTACATTACGCTACATTACTCACTATAAAAGCGGCGCTAGTCACTACTTACGTAGAAAAGCTGCGTCGGGATCCCACACTGCATCACTAGGCGACTACCTGTAAACCTGCGACATGGCGCAGCATCGAGCTAAATGTCGGTGGCGCTGAGCGTATAATGTAGGCAGCTCGTATTAGCGTTGCTGACACAACTATAGCTCGACAGAGACACGCAACACCCCGAACTATTTAATTGTAAAATCAAACGTTCAGTTACAACCCGGTGAATTAGTTACTTACTCATTGTTACGTTGCTGTGTGGAACCCACCTAGCGATTTTTGTCACTAGCGACGAAATCGTCAGTGAATAGTCCAGTTTGCTGTACCTATAGTTGCCATCAAATATCTAGAGACAAAATATCGCCAGTGACAAGATCGCCAAGATCTGATTCGCTAGATATTTGTAGATCAAATTGCTAACGATGAAGTGAAAATCGCCATCGGTCACTTTGTTTACGGTCGTCAACGACAAAGATAAAATATTGCTAGCGATTTAAATCGCTACGATTGCGTGAAAATCGGTAGGTGTGTGCCGGCCTTTAGTTTCCTGAACGGTCGCTGAGACGCAGGCGGTTAGAAGCCGACCATGTTGGGCCAGGGAACATAGCTGGTCGATACACTGACTAATTTTGACTAGATTTTGATGAAATTTTGACTAAGTTTGACTAAATTTGATGTAGGATCAAATTTTGCAGTCTGTAGGAGGTATAGTACGTATAATACATCAGTGCCGATACCTCGCAGTAGTTTAGCAAAATGTCCATTTATAGAAATGTATTGAGAAGCTCGAGTGCGGTATGCTAGCCCGGGCTAGCCCGGTAATATTTCAGTAATGTACGGTAATATCCCGGCAGCGAATTTTTTCCCCCTACACGTTATATCCATTGCAGAGTTTTGGGCTCCTCTGATTGGCTGCGGTAGATCGCATCCCGGCAATGTCTCGGTTATAGCTCGAGCTATTCTAATCTCAATTAAGTGGTTGTAGCCATTGCGTCTGTGCAATGTAGTTTTTTTGCGCTATCACCGCGAATGTTTGCATGTAATAAGAGTGCATGGGGTGTTCAGAAAATCATCAGGAAGCACTATGCACGAAACCTACTCACGGTAAAAATTCGCTGAAAGTAGTTACTGAACATAAATACTGAATGCACGCGCCAATATCGTAATAATAACCAACACGTAGTCGGAAATATTGCCGACTCATTTCTACTGCGCCCCAATGAAAGCTGTGTTAATTTACTTGCAGAAGCGCGGTGCAGCCTATGTAACAAATGAACAAATGTATAGCGCTATACACAATTTAAAATCCCGCGTGAACATACAAGATCGCTTCGGTGGTGATACAGTATGTCCAGTGTCTTTCAGTTTAGACGCCAACACACGGAAATATATGCCATGCTAGATATTGACACCATGAATTATTAAACCTAGAGCTGTTGTGCTAATGCGGATCCATGGATTATGTCATGCGCGATCAGGTAATTGGTTCATTTCTCATATAACACGTTCTAAAAATTTCTCCGCATATACATATAAATCGATACGCTCACCGGTAATGGGCAAAAAACAGGTTGTCAGTAATTCCTGCAAAGTATGACAATGAAGGAGTGCTACACGTATACATAAAAATGACGGCGCATAATGCAGCGATGAGAACGAACTATATACCATTGCTTACCAGCGACTATTCTGCCTTGATGCGTCATAATTTAATATTGCGCACCTTATTAGTAGCGCTATACCGGCACGTTGTTGGTAGTAGAACATAGCGACGTCCTTGTAAAGGCAAGCATGGATAAACTACGCGCTATCTTAGAGAATACACATGTTGAGGAAAGCGGAACGCGGAAACATCAGACAAATGGAGACAAATTAGCACCGAAGAACCATTTGCCGGTTATCGATCAAACCGGGTAAATGAAACAAATACGATGATCGCGATGTTCACGTAGTTTGATTGTAACGTCGATAGATACTGGCATGAAGTTATCGTCGATCACGTGATGGGCGCGCAGACAGAAAAAGGTCAGATTTTTCGATGCAGTCGCACGTGGATCCCAGCGCAGCGCGCTATCTGTCCCCCACACACCACACCCACACAATAACTGATCCGCACCCCACCCCGCGTGCAGCAGCAGCAGTAACACCCCCGCACACCACCCCGCATGCAGCAGCAGTAAAGTCTGGCGCACACCACCCCCGTGCAGCAGCAGCAGTAACACCCCCGCACAGCAGCAGCAGTAACACCCCCGCACAGCAGCAGCAGTAAAGCCTGGCGCCCCCCCCCCGTGCAGCAGCAGCAGTAACACCCCCGCACAGCAGCAGCAGTAACACCCCCGCACAGCAGCAGCAGTAACACCCCCGCACAGCAGCAGCAGTAACACCCCCACACAGCAGCAGCAGTAACACCCCCGCACAGCAGCAGCAGTAAAGCCTGGCACACACCACCCCCCGTGCAGCAGCAATCAAGCCTACGCATAGCATCCCGCGTACGACAAATTTAACAAGTTGAAATAGAAAGCGCAGCAACCGCACGCCCAACGCATGAACCACTAAATCGCTATAAAGGGGCGGAAATAACGAGTAGAAACTCACCGGTCGATCGGCAGCATGGATTTTGTCGGTTTGTTTTTCCAGGCACGTGTCGAAATAAATCGCTATCGCTCACCCACCCTCCCTCTCGCTCTGTCGTCGCGGCCGGCGCGTCGACTATAGATTACTGTGGTACGTCTTACAATGCGTGGTTATCGTGACAGCATGACACAGGCGCCAGTATGACGTTACGCACACAAAGCACATCGTTATTAGTTCGGCCGTGAGATACTATATGTCGCAGGAAAATCTATAAGCTGTCAAGAACCGCCAAATTCGATGAAAACGATTGCAAAGCACTATGAATAACACTTGTAAATATGATTGCTTTTGTATGGTTGTTTCAAAGAGTTGTTATTGTAATTGTTAGAACGTTCTATTGCCGTCAAACTTGTTTACGTTATTCCACATGCCTGTAAATTTATAATATGCCATGAATAAAGTAATTATATTCAAGTTTGGAACAATTAATTAATATTTAAAATGTATGTACATGAATACGCGCGTTTGGCATTGTCAGCCGTCAGGTACCAATTCATACTCAACGTTTCTGTCAACGTAACTGAGAAAATAAAGTTAACTGACCTTGAAAATACAAAAGGAGTAATCAAAGTTAAGTATAAAGCAAAAACAACACTATACAACATGCAGTAGTTGCAAACTGGAGCGGTAAATATTTGACGCCATTAAAAAAATACTACTCAATATAGAAAAACTGAAAACATAGACAGTTAACCAGGAGCGTATAATGCACCCACAATTTTCTGTCACGTAACCGCCTGTCAGCAAAGTGCTGTTGTATTTATACAGCTTGTCTGGAAGCACTTACGGCGTTTTGAATCCTCCCACGAACAGACAAGCAGTATACACATCGGCGTATTACTGAACGAAATCATAATACTGTTTTTGGCAGTCTTCATTTACATGCCATGCCTACGCAGATTTAACGAAGCAGCCCGTAGGTAGACTAGCGAGTGCAGTGAGTATTAAGAATCGTCAGACTGGTTCTTACAACGGCCAATAAAATAATAAAATTAAAAAGCGACTCAGGGATCAATCAGTACGAATTACTAATTAAATAAGTAAATTTTCTCTTGGAATCTTGAGGGAAAAGAAGAGTAGTTGAAAGCATGTAATTGCCCATGCACTACTACGTATATTGCATAAAACAGAAAATAACTGCATGCAAACCCGAACTACGTACCAGATGACTGGATAAATAACGAACCCCTTACACACGCTGGGCAACAGTTGGTTGTAGAGTTGTACTGAATAATTCACAACTCCTTAATTACTGACCATGCTTATTGCACACTACCAAACAACCTCAAAATATATATTTATTCTATGAATCATGGCTGATCCTATTTTCAACGAGAAACTAAATGAGTGCATGATCACTGACAGCACCTTACATTTTGCACATTCTACCAAAAAGCGAATGTCACATTATTCGATGCAAACGTTAATGCATAACGTTTTACCTTTACAAAAATGTTGAAAACAAGTGTTACCAAACCTGCCAGAGTATGTCCACTCCAAATTTCAACTCATGCTATAAGTGCTTAGAGAATCAACTCGAATACGTTAGTAAAATGTATGCTCCCTAGCTACAGCACAACTTTTATTTACTAACCACACGGTATTTCCAACACTTTCACATTACCCGATTGACGAAAAATACATATCGCAACTTGCCTTCATAAAACGGCTGTCTGAAAACATAAAATTTAGTTGCTCTATATATAGTCACTGATAGTACTTGAATAGAACGGCCCTACTTAACACGTTCTATTTTACAGAAGTACATTGGCCCAAAATTGGAGAGAAGCGTGGGAACTACAAGCTGCCCATATCGGCACCCACTGTAGAAACTGAAAAAATCTTCAAACTGCTGCTGCACTGGATCTAAATTTCGAATTACTACGTCGATTGAAGATTTTTCCCACAGCGTTTGCAGTGCCATCTGTACGACACCGTCATTCTGAATAGGTGAGAGTGAGCACGTTGAGTAGACTACAATGCCCCCTACTTTCACGGCACGAATGCCGTCACTGCAAGCAAAAAAATATTCCTATTAATTTTTAATACGGTAAAGCACTTGGGCTGAACTGGAGTAGTAATTAAGGTATTTCATCTAATACAGAAAATGGGCTTAAATGTCAAGTACTTATATCACATATATCCATGATTAAAGATGGTTGTACTGCGTACGTAGGTACTAGGGAAATTTCCTAGATAAAACTAACTCACCCAAGTGGAGGAATAACTTTCGTATTTATTTTTAGAGCAAGCACTTGAGATCCCAATTTCAATTTTCCTACGGATTGTTTCAGCTTGGAAATCACCCTGACACAATCTACATGACACACACTGAATGACTGACCACAATAAAATGTAATTACCAGAGTAACCTGGCCTGAAGCTCTGGCAGCTGATGGCGCTCTTTTGTTCTACTAGTTGAGAACCAGTTGTTATCTTCTACCAGCATGGACTGCCTGTCCGTGGTACACGGGACGTCCACCAATACCTTTGTTTTCAATTGAAAGGTTCAACAACATGATTAATATGCATATAACAAATACTGCTTTTTTACATTCAATCCACCTTAACTACAACATATCCCTTGTTCTGCCAGAGCAACACTCATACAACTCTACCATAGCGCTTCAATAGATGCCTCTTTTGAGTGACCAAGTGATAACAAAAAAACGTGAGTCCTAGTTACACGGAGGGCATGTTCAGTGTAAAATTAAGAATAGCAATATATTAATGCAACTGTGACTTTCGTAGATCAGGGATTCTTCTCTAACGCATCATAGTAAACATAGGAGTGGTCATGATACCTTGTTAAAGCTGCTGTATGGGGCAACTCGATCACCAGGAAGGTGACTTGTTGTGATAGCCATCCTCTCCTGGACAGTTGCAGGAACGTAGGATTTAAGTACACTTCGCAGGCGCCTCAATCTGCTGAACGACACATCATTGCAGAGTAGGCCACCTGGGGGTAGCACACGTAAAAATCGGTTTTTTATTTAAGATGCATCTTTAACTCGGTTAATGACACTACCGTTTTCCTGAAATTCTACCAAAACCTTTATCTAGAAACAAAGACAAGTTAAGTTTATACAGTAAAATGATTTATAAATTCACGAGCCTGGTACCTGCACAGGTTCCTAGTGAAATACTAATACATGTATCCTCATTTTAGAAATAACATGATAAAAGTTGTTGCATTTATAACATTTGCTACTTGTAAATAGGATGTTCTACTAACAATTTTACACACTAGAAAACATTTATTTACCATTCAAAGTTCATTTTGATCCATGTGAATCCTACTTACTTTCCTTTGCAATGAATAATAATGAATACATATCTCATGACTCTGTGGATACCATTAATTTGTCATCAATTGTTTGAACCTGGTGGTTATAAGTTAGTTTTTTAGTTTGAAATTGCTTATAATTATTGAAAACATTTAGATTACCTAAGTCCTCCTGTTGCAACATAGTCAAGGTCTTGCCACCAGGGGCAGCACAGAGGTCGAGCACAGTGTTTCCAAACTTCAAGTCTAAGGCCAGTGTGGGAAGGATTGATGAAGCATCCATCAAATAGTAATCTATATAAACATAGGTACTGTACAGAGCTCTAGTTTTACATTCAAATAAATAAATAAAATCAATGTAATTTGCTTTGCGTTATTCAATTATAAAACAAAAGATGAAATGGAAAACGAATGAAAATAAACATTGAATGCGTTTGTACTAACTACATTTCCTCTAATCACACTATGACAATTCCAAATCAGCACAACATGACTACAGATCTATTTTACTACGTTGTATTCCTTGACTAACAGTCATTAAAGGCAAGATCAAAAAAAATTTGGATATCCAAAGAAAACATCTCACCAATTAAATATATTATATTATTAATAATTATATATTAATATATTATTAACTAGAAAGGGCAGTTGTCGCCAACTACATGTATCCCCCGTGTTCTCCCTAAGATGTGTAAGTATACGAAGTTTGGTCGTGCTAGGTCAATTAGGGGCCGAGTTATTAAGGAGCAAAAGAGGAAATTATGCATTGTATGTCAGGTCAAAAGTAAGTAATAGAAGGCTTGCAGTGACCTGAGTTTTCGGTACGCGACCACGGCTTTCCCAAGATGTGTAGGTATAGCAAGTGCGGTCGCACTAGGTAAATTGAAGGCGGCCGAGTACTTAGAGTAGCCGAGGGGAAACTTGTCTGCGGCGGGCTGGGCAGAGCATGAAACCAAGCAGGCGAGAAGGCGAAATATGCATCAAGAGTCAAGGTCAAGTCAAGGTCAAGATAAAAGCGCAAGTAGAAGCTGGTTTTGGTGCGCACAACTTCTCCCAAAATGATGTATAGAATTACCAAGTTGTTAGCGTACGTCATTAGGGGCCGAGTATATTTTAGGAGCGGAAGGGAAATGATGATCGAAGGTCAAGAGGTAAGTGGTGAAATAAAAGGGTTGCAGTGACCGGTTTTGTAATGCTGCGGCACTTCCCCAAGATGTGTAGTTATCAAGTTTTGTAGCGCTGTTTAGGCTTCAGTTAAAGGAGCGAGTTTAGAGCGAGAAGGCATAATGAATCAGTCAGGTAAAGGTGAAATTAAAGCAGTCGCAGTGACCTGTTTGGATATGACTCGCCCCTTCTCCCAAGATGTGTAAGTATAGCCAAGTTTTGTAGCGCTAGTTCGATATTAGGGCCCGGTGACTAGGAGGAAGGAATATGATCACTGTCAAGGTTAAGGTGAATAAAGGCTCGCAGTGACCTGGTTTTGTGCCTGCCCCTATCACTTCTCTCCAAGATGTGTAGTTATACGAAGGTTTCGGTATGTGAGGTCAATTAGGCTGATTATTAGAAGCGAAAGGGAAATATGAGTGAGGTCAAGGTCCAAAGTCAGGTAAAATTAAGGTTGCATTGACGTGGTTTCGGTTGACGAGGAAATCACCTTCTCCCAAGAGTGTAAGTTCCACAGTTTGGTCGCACTAGGTTAATTAGTGGGTGATGTTATAGAGCAGAAGGGAAATGGGCTGCGGCGCGGGCTGGGAGACATGAACCATGTATCCCGCTTTCTGCGTTTGCGGGGATAATAATATCATATATATATAATATATGCAGCAGAGAGACGAAGGAGAGAAGAGAGAGAGAGAGATGAGAGAGAGAGAGAGAGAGAGAGAGAGAGAGACAATATGGCGTACGGTTTGTCAATTTAGTCAAACCATATGTCGGTTTACAACACACACCATATTTCCGCCAACCATACACATTGTAACGCCACCAACATGTTATTTATAAAAACCCTTACAGAAACACATGTACATATTTCCTACCAACAGGTGCGTGCGCCACCGAACCACACTAGTTTGCTAAACCATACTAGTACTTGGTCAGCAAACGATACAAGTAGTTTGCAGATACATGGTTTTCTGCACGCAGTGTGCAACCTTTGACCTACGTACGTGGAGCGATAACGTAGCCGCGGGCGCATATGGCGGCCGCCGATTCCGAACCCTCCAACGGCCACCGCTCCTATTGAGCACACCGGCGCATTGCAGCCGCACACATGCAGCCGTTAACCACCCCACCACCACCATGCGCTATTAAGCTATGGGCCGTAGGAAAGTGTACTAACTCTAATATCTCGTGAACGAATTGAGTTTCATTTCTAAGATTCGAGATACATATAAACACATGTCTTAGCTATGGTCTCCGTGAATTTTGAGTTTATTGAAGCACGAATAGTTTAATCAATTGCCAAAAATATATGCGCGGTATCGCTCAAAGTCTAATATACGCACGGCTATGGACGGTAGAAAAGTATACTAACTATCATATGGCGCGAACGAATCGAGTTACATTTCAAAAATTCTAGATAAATATAAACACATGTCTTAGCTATGGTCTCTGTAAATTTTAAGTTTATTGAAGCACGATTAGTTTAATTAATTAAAAAGTGTACTATATATATAACTATAACATATGGTGCAAACGAATTGAGTTACATTTCTAAAATTTACATTTTCGGGAAAAATCTCACGAACGTGCAGAAATTTTAGCTTATGAGCGATACTGCGCGTATATATTTGGTAATTAATTAAACTATTCGTGCTTCAATAAACTCAAAATTCAAGGGGATTATAGCTACGACATGTGTTGATATGTATCTAGAATTTTAGAAACTCAATTCGTTCGCGCCATATGATATTGCAGTTACCTCCGCCAAGGGGTTGGCAGGAGGTTATGTTTTCACCGGCGTGTGTTTGTTTGTTCGGCGTGTGTTTGTTGGTTTGTGGGTTTGTTTGTGTACAGCCTAACTGAAAAAGTTAAGGACGGATTGTCATAAAATTTTCAGGATAGGTCAGAAATGGGCTAACGTAGAATTGATTAGATTTTGGTGGTGATCAAGATCCAATTAATTATTAATTAATTAATAAAATTTTCAGGATGTCAGAAATGGAATAACTTAAAATTGATTACATTGTGGTGGTAATCCGGATCCAATTAATTAATTAATTAATTAATTAAATTTTCAGGATATGTCAGAAATGGGGTAACTTAGAATTGATTACATTTTGGTGGTGATCCGGATCCAATTAATTATTTAATAAATTAATGAATTAATAAAAATTTTCACAGTGAGCCAATTGAGCGGCCTTGGCGGAGGTCTGCGCTCTCCGAGTGCTCTAGTTATATATATAGTACACTTTTCTACCATCCATAGCCGTGCGTATATTAGCGTATATGAGAGATACTGCGGGTATATTTTTGGTAATTAATTAAACTATTCGTGCTTCAATAAACTCAAAATTCACAGACACCATAGCTAAGACATCTGTTTATATGTATCTAGAATTTTAGAAATGTAACTCAATTCGTTCGCGAGATATTAGAGTTAGTACACTTTCCTACGACCCATAGCTTAATAGCGCATGGTGGCGGTGGTGGTGGTGGGGTAGTGGTGGTGGTGGTGGGAGTGTTAACGACTGTTTACAATGCGCCAGCGTGCTCAATAGGAGCGGTGGCCGTTGGGGGGTTGGAATCGGCGGCCGCCATATGCGCCCGAGGCTACGTTATCGCTCCATGTACGTAGGTCAAAGGTTGCACACTGCGCGCGGAAAACCATGTTTCTGCAAACTACTTGTATCGTTCGCTGACTACTACTAGTATGGTTTAGCAAACTAGTGTGGGGGAATTGTGGTTCGGTAGCGCACGCACCTGTTGGTAGGAAATATTAGTGATGTCACGATTATCGATTATACTCGATCATCGGTTGAACAGTGGCTCGAACCAAGCGCTTGGTTATCAAAATCCATAATCGATTTCATCGACAAAAAATAAATAAAACTTGATAAGAAAACTGATGAGAATCAGAGATATCATCGCTACTATACAAGTTATCCTTTATTAACATACATGTATTATACACACAGTAGTAAACAGTGCTAAACAAACAGTAAACAGGGCTAAACAGGCACATACATGCACACACCTACATGCACACGACGTTACGCACACGCAGGCATTCAACACCCCGAGTAACCGATTGTAACCGATCATCGGTTACTTGGGTCCAACCGATGATCGATTACGAAATTACAACCGATTGACAACACTAGGAAATATGTACACCTGTTTCTGTAAAGGAAGATAAGGTTTTTATAAATAACGTGTTGGTGGCGTTACAATGTGTATGGTTGGCGGAAATATGGTGTGTGTTTGTAAACCGACATATGGTTTGATTAAATTGACAAACCGTACACCATAAGAGAGAGTGAGAGAGAGAGAACATAATATGTGTACTCAGTATACTTATGCTCATGCTACTACTATAAATAGGTTCACGATGAGCACAGAGTAAAACAAATAGCTTAGTGTTGCCACCTAGTGGAGATTAAACCATACGGGATACAAAACAAAAAAATGGCTAATAATACTCACCCAAGATCTTAGAAATATCTGTGCGTGGCGGAGGAAATAGAGATAGATCTCCCTTCTTATATACATAGGCCTTTAACCTTTCTGGAACTCTGAAAGGTTGATCTGGCACAATTTCTACCTTCAGGCATAAAATCCAAATAAATACATGAGTAGAGCAACTTCACGAAAAATACACTGCTTGCACATTCCACAGATCACCAGAAATGGTATCTATGATCACACGTGATGAATAGGCCCTTATAGGTTTTATTGGTTAATATAAGGTGTTAACAGTATTGGTTAGTGCTGAAACTCCTAGGTTGCTTACAATACCTCTGATATGCATGCATGCATTCTTCCCTACGCACCTCTCTAGGTTTTTCAAAAATGTAACCGTAGTCAGTCTGGAATTTTTCCTCTCTCTCTATACTAGGACCTCTCAGCTTTGTAGCAGGCACAAAGTCATATATGTCTGCATTTCCAGTAGGTGTTGTATCTGGACTGCTGCTTGGGTGCTGGTCGCAACTGTTCGCGTGCTCGGTGGCGCCCTCCACATTGCTCAGTGCACTGGCAGCATCATCTGCACCAGCAGTGCTCACACTTGCATTGCTTCCATCTTCATCCTTAGCAGCAGTATCACGACCACTGACAGCATCAGTGGTCTGTCTTGGGTGATAACTATCAGACTCAAATGATCCGGAATGTTTAAATTGGGAATTTTTATGCTGCCGCTGCGTGTCAGCTGATGAAGACCTGTTTGCCATTAGTTCCGCCTCAAATAAGTTGAACGCACGTAGATCTTCCAGTTTTCGCTTCGAGTCATCTGCCTATGACAAAAAATGTTCTTGAATGACTAAAAACAAATTACGATCGCATACTGATACATAGATCTCTCTGGTCAGTGTCAGTAGTAAATTCACTTTGACTGATTTTTCCAACGTTCATGCCAAGCACATACCACGCATTACGTATTCAATTGCAAAATTAGAGTAGAACAAATTCTGGTTTTAACTCACACCATAAGCTCAACATACCCTTGATGAAAAGTTGTTGATTACGGCACAGTACTTTAACTGGCACTGCAGTGCAATGCGAATTTTGGGCCACTCCTGACCAAAGTATGGACCATACATGTCATCAAACAAGTTTAATGCCCGTTTGACGTTGGACACCTTCTTGCCTTTACTTGGAGCCTGTAAATACCACAAACCATGTCAACCTTGACAGATTCAAGGTCGCGATGAAAACCTGGACATTTTAGAAAAGGCAGTGTATACAGCCACACGCCCGTGTCTTTACCATCAAGCCACATGCGTGTGTCTCTAGCGACTCTAGTGTGGAGCAGATACAATCACACCAATTGCAACAACGCGTCAAATGTACATTTAAATTTTCATTAGTGTCTCTTTTTACTCAGAATGTGGAAAATATTCACCAGTAAATGTCTTACGATCTTGTTCAGGTGCTGTAGATCTAAGACTTATGTATTTATCTGTTTCAAACGTCCAAATTATGAGTGCAGTGCAATGTCTCTGCCCGTATGCGACTCTTCCTGGATTCCGTAGCCGGTGTATATGCATGGTACGTGCATGCAGGTCCTGTACGTGTACGTGTATGTGTGTAAAATGTAGGTTACTCCGCCTCCATCCAGCTACTTGTGTATGCGCGCAATATGAATATTTATAATTCATCAATATGCATGAGAAGAGTTAACCGTAATATATAATATCCAGCGTGTGGCTGGATGGTAAAGACACATGTGTGGCTGGATAGTAAAGACACGTGTGTGGCTGTATACACTGCCTTTAGAAAAAAACTAAAAATTGAAATACACATATATCAATGAATCGATATGTATGTATGGGGTTACAGTGGATATTTATGAATTATTTCAATGATAATCTGGCCATCGTCGCATCGATACATGATTATGAGGGTGGTACCACGCATTCACTGATTATGTTGCCTTTACCTCTAAAAGAATTTATTGATATTATGCCCAGAAATGCAGTGGACATTTAACCGTATACAGCAGAGTATCCACTTCCGCTATTTTACCATACAGACTTCAGTACTTCTGATTGGCTAGCATATGTATGTATGTGTTACGTATAATGTTAGTATATTATGAATGTGTTCAAAAGGCTTCGTATTGGAAACGTGACTCAGGGAAAATAGCTTCTATGATCAAACGGGGCTAGAAATGTGTAGAAATAAATGGGATTTGAACCTAAAAGTTTTTTAGACAGAATGCGGCTGGGTCAAGTGCGTGCAGCACCAGTGCGCGGCAACGCCGCGCCCCTAATACGATCACGCCGCCCCTTTTAGTGCTCTTAGACAGATATCTTAGACAGGGGGCCTGAACGCAACTCGGCGAATACGGGGCCGTTTCAAAACGCGATTTCACGATTCACGCCTACAGACCATCTCCAAACGGCCCAGCAAGATGTTTGGGGGTAGCGTGCCTCAAGGTTAAGACGCAATGGCCGAAACAAAGATGCTGTCAATCACCGAGCAAGCGCTCGCTGGTTGGCCGCTAGCCGATGACGTCGTCTGTTGCCGAGCGACCCCTGACGTCAATCAGCCAGATGTTTTTACGAATGCGGCCGTGCAGCGTAGAGAGCGTGAGAGAGAGCGAGAGATAGCAGTTTTTGTGCAGCCGGCGGCATGGCAACACAGCCAGTAAACCCGACACAGCGTAGCAAGCAAGAGAGAGAGAGTGCGAGAGAGAGAGAGGGCAAGAGAGAGAGAGATAGAGAGAGAAAGAGAGAGAGAGAGGGGGGGAGAGTGATAGAGAG